GAAGCCATGGTCGTCAGGCGTGCTATTTGTTTGCAGAGGGGGCCTGCCGTGGTTCAAATCCAGGCAAGTGTCCTATTGGAAATGGCTTTTTTGTACTAAAAAAGAGGGTTTTGGTCTCAATAAGAAGGTCCCTTTGAGTCAAAATGTTGTGATTCTATGAATTTTCATCAGACTTTGAAATATATCTAAGTGTCTGAAAACAGCAGAATTTACCTTTCTACTGGATCAACCGCTACATTTGCAGGATATTTTAAGGCACTTAATAGAATGCGGGAATTGTTTCCTTTCATATCTGTTATTGTAATGATTCCTTCCTGTTGATTTGACCAAATAAGTTCTTCATTTATCCAATTTATTGCCATTCCTGAAACATTTTTCTCTATATTGCATACTCTCTGTAAAATCAAATTTCAAAATTGTTATTAATATTTCCCCATTTACAACAATTTTTTAAATTTTTATGTATGAGTCTATTCTTTTAAGCACTTGTCATTTTTGTGCATTCCCAAAATTATTTTAATGAAAATATAATCACAGCTACAGTGCCATCATTTTAATGAAGTAATATTAACTCTTCCATGTGAATATATCTGGGAATAGTATTTATACCATAGCTTTGAATTAGAAAGTTACCTTATACTTATTGAAATTAGGCAATCAACCATAATGTATTAATAATTTCAACTAGTAAATGTGGAATTTCTATGCTACCTTAAAGACAGTTTATTCCACTTGCTACTGGAATTTTCCAGATTCTCACCTGAACCAAGTCCAAGCTTTGCCAAATTCTGGCAAGATCTCCTTAAAGTCTGTGCACAGAGTTCTGAAGCAGATAAATTTCTCATTAGGCCCCCACTTTTATTCCAGCCCCTCCTTCTCTATCAGGCCCCTCCCTTTCTACAACCCTCAGTGTCCTTGCATGATGACCCTGTGACCTGAAGAGAAAGGTTTTTCTTCGTGCCTCTTGGGCACTGTTTCCTGTTCTCTCGTTTGAAAACCACCTAACAAAAAAATTCTGTTATCTCTTAATTCCATCGTATGCAGGTAAATTGGTCCTCTTGCAGGGTGGAGGGTGGGAGGTGGGGAGAAGCCCTGATGTGTATTGTTGCAGATTCCCACAGTGTAAATATTCTCACCTTAGCTGAGTTCCAGCCACTGACCTAATGTCACCAAATGCGATTGGGCAGAGGTCAAATATTTTCATGAGCCTGTACTATTTCTACATCTCAAATGGAGTAATCTGGCCAATTCATTTAACCAATTGCCAATATATTAACTTATAGCTCACCCAGGTTAATTGTTTCCCCTTTAATGGTTGTCCTGTATAAACAATGTTTTAACTCAAAGGAGAAACTATTATGGTTGATTTTAGGTATCCAGCCAATCCTTTCCTAATGACTTACTTGACATATATTCATCGCTGTTTAACCTTTTTTCCTATTATGTGACAGGAAACCCTCCAGATTCTTAGACTTAAGATTTTGAAACTATTCTGCAGATGGCCATCCTTGTTAAAAGTGAGATTAGCAAGTATTACAAGATGTGATTAAACAAATTAACACCTAATTGATGCTTTTAAGAATAATTATAGGGAGAAGGTTTGGTTTAAAAAAATCAGTGGGCACTTTGTCCTGGGAATAAATGCTGAAGTTCTCTCTAGTCACACTCTCTCTGTAATCCATCTCCCAGAAACAGAGAGAACATTCCTCCTGGGACTTATTTAAGGACTCTACCAGTTTAAAAGAAGGATTAAAGATAAAGTATTTTATATCTGTCATCTGCTTAATTCTTTTTTCAGAGTGCAAACATATTGAGGATAAAAAGAAAAAATTTTTTCTTCCTAAATATCAGGTGCCAAAATCTATGACAGAGATTTTAGACAGATGAAAGAAAGTTTCTCAGCCTCAGCATGATTGACATTTGGAGCCGATAATTCTTTGTTGTGGGGACTGTCCTGCATCTTGTAGGATGTTTGGCTGCCTCCTGGCCTCTGCCCACTAGACAGATGACAGTAGCACATCCTCCCTCCTTCCCAATCCAGTGGTGACATCCAGAAATCTTCCCAGTCATTGCCAAATATACCCTAGGTGCAAAATATCCCCAGTTGAGAACACATGGAATAGGAAATAATCATGTAAATCATCTATTTGACTTAATAAACTTACATATTTTTAAAATTACATTGACATCCTCACTTTCTACTTTTGGGAGCATCTGAATATCTATGCTACATTCATGAGCTTGTTCAATAACATGTCACAGATGCAGATTAAATAAATACCTACAAAGGCCAGACACGTTTGATGTGTAATATAATTTCCATTTATCTATATGTTACAAATTAACTGTGTCACTTTTGTCAGCCTATACAAAAGTCCAACAAATACCTTGGGAAATGGTACTTTACCTCTTGCCTTGTCCCATTCAGGAAAACTCTTTGCAAAAGTTGTCTTTCTAGATCTACCCAATAGATTCTTTCCTTATTGTAATGAAAATCCATGATCACTGATACGCCAGCATCTGTCACCAATTTCTCATAATTAGTTCCTTCCAGGTCAATCCGAAAGATACTATTTCCATGAGAGAAAATTAAGAAGGGTACAGGACCTGAGTGGGAAGAAAAAAACCAAACTTGTGTATTTTCAATATTTTATCTGATTTAAACAAAATAATTCCACATGACAACCAATACAAATAGAATTCATTTTTTAATTCCTGGTTTTATATTTTAAATAAAGACTATTGTGTAGAGAAAAAAGAGTTTCTATAGATGTTCACAACTAATTTTGTAAATTTTCTTCTCCACGAATCATAAGAAATGAACATGCCAAATTATGGAAAAAGGAACTATTTGAAGAGAAAAGCACTTTCTTCTCTTATCTATACAATGCCATTTTAGGTTCAAAAAGTAACCACCTACTGTATTCTATTGTGGAAAGAGTCCATATGAATTTAAATTTTAATTATGCAAATTGGAAATAATACTACCGATATTACCATTTTCTAAATGAACCCCGCTGCTCTAGTCTCACTTATGAAGAGCCTTCAGGGTAATGACATGGAAGAAGATGGTGAAAATCAGAGGTCTTCAGTGGAAGAAGGAAAAATTGAAATGCTGTCTTGTGAAAGCTCTGAAATACTTTGTCCCTGTTAGCACAGCCACATAAAATACAGGGTGTTCGATTAAATCTGAATTGCTATATATATATATATATATATATATATATATTGTGTGGAACATTCTTAACTAAAAATTATTCACTGTTTACGTGAACTTGAAATTTAACTAGGTACCCTATGTTTTTATTTGTTAAATCTTGGTGGTGGACCGCACTAGATGTCTTGACTCCTACAGGGCCTCACCATGTACCCTAACGCTAGACCTTGGGTCCTGTCCTATTCCAGGCGATGGCTACCTACCCACTCTTACTCCCAAATAGAACTCGATACTTCTCTTTGGTAACCTCAGCAAAAATTACTGGCTGACTCCACACAGAGTTTTTGATGTTCCAAGATGCTACTAGGGGATATTTTCATCCCCTGCAGCCGGGTTAGTTTCTTTGGTCTCTTCTGTCTGAGGCTGAGGAGGCTCCTGCCATTCTGCCTTTCAATGGAACAGCTCGGAAGAATAGGGAATTGGACACAATTCTAACAGATTCTCACTTCTCTGCTGAGTTTATTGCACTCTGTTTTCACATTAAACTTTAATTCCTTTATGTGACATAATATATGTGTTTATTGTTCTAAAGATTAAACAAGATGATGGATTAATGACCTCTTATTCAAGGATTACATTCCACAGCCAGAAAACATTAACTCCGCTTTAGAGGACATGTCGGAGTAGAGACACGAGGAAGGAAGAAGTGTAAAATCATGACAGTGTGAAATAGGTGCCAGCATAAATGTCTAAGGGAATTAGCTCAAAACACTCTTCCCATATCTTTTCCATGATACTAGACCCCCTGCACAGATGTGTAGGAAATTAGCTCAAAACACTCTTCCCATATCTTTTCCACAAGACCCCCTGCACGGATGTGTAGAAGAGCTCATTCTCCATCGTCACTCCAGACGTAGAATCAGAGGAATCAGAGAAGAAATGGAAAGGGTATAAAATTGAGAGCCAGCAGTCCCGGTTTTCTGTCCTGGCTCCACTAGTTCTCTGGACATCTCACAGGACCTCCCTGCTCGTATCAGAGGATTATCAGGAAAATAAATGAAATTATAAACCCCAAAATATTTCATTAATTACAGAGCCCTACACAAATATAATTTGCCGTTGCTTATTCCCACAGCCAAGCTCTTGCTACTATAGGTTTGTGCCACAGTTTATATTTGAACCCATGGACTAGATAGAATGTTGGCGTAGCTCAGCTCTCCTATAGCAGTGTATCGTGGAGAAAAGGAAGGCACAGGAAAAGGCACCCTAAACCAGAAGCTACTAACTTGTGGGCTGAAGATTGCTTGGAGTCCTGTCTTTGGAATGTGTGTCATGCATTCTCTATAAACTAAATAAATATTTCCAACATATATTATTAATTTAACTCAGTGTTTCCCCAAAATTGTTCATTCGATAGAGTCCCACTGGGTAGTGTGTGTGTGTGTGTGTGTGTGTGTGTGTGTGTGTGTGTGTGTGTGTCTTTTGCAGATCCCTTCCCTTAGACAGAACATAGATAATGCTTTGTAAATAATAGACACACAAACTTTAAAATAAATTAATGAAGAAATAATTATGTTGTGTTTATCTGGGCTTTTAGCAATAGGAAGAAAGCCAAAGACACTAGCAAATCTATCAAATTCATAAGAGCAAAGTCTATTCTATGTACTTATTTTACTAACAGCAATAATAATAATAATAATAGCAACAACAGCAAAAACAATAACAATAATAAAACAAACTTTCACATCCTAATCTTATTTATCCTTAATAAAACACTGTGAACTAGATAGGCCAGACTTGACAGTCAATAAATCAAAGAGAAATGAGAAATCTGAAGAATACTGAGATCCATAAAACACAAACCATAGCATTAACTTCAGTAACTTTTCAAAAAAATAACTATAGAGTATTTATAAACTACTAAGTATGAATTAACAAATTTTATCCTCAGATTTTTTCTATTCACTGGTGAATTATAGCCTCCAGGCTTTATCGTGGCCTCTTAGAACTGGAAGACCCTAGACATTACCTAACCCAGTGTTTCCCAAGATGCTTTGTTCAAGAGTCCCACAGAGTAGTGTGTGTGTGTGTGTGTGTATGTCTGTGTCTTTTGCAGATCCCTTCCCTTGAGATTCCAACTCAGTGTGGCTGGGCTGAGGGCCAAAAATCTGTTTTCTGAATGGACACTCCAGGTGATTCTTATATCTTAGTGAATTTGAAAATCATAGATCTAGTTGAGAAATCATAAATCAGATGAGGAAATTCAATGGTGTTTCCCAAAGTCCCATCACTAGTTGGTAGAGCTGGAATTAGAACCCAGATACCACCCTCCCAATCCAATTCTCTTTCTTGCCTTGGTTGCCATATATCAAGATGTTACATGTCAGGATGTTACAATCTTCATTTGATTTATGTACCTGATTTTAATTTCACTTCCTTCAAAACATTGGCAATTTTTCCTGCACTGTCAGCATCATTTTATGTAAACCAGAGCTTGGGCTGAGTATTTGTAGAAATGAAATGTAATACGATCTAAAAGAAAATGAATTTTGCTTGGTGAAATAGTCATTATTCTGTACTACCACTGGAAATGATAAATAAGTTTGTGTTTTTTCAGACCTGTCAAAGATTAAACATCAGTGTATGGTACAGAGTGGGGATTTGAATGTCAGCAGGGTGTGCATGTTTGAACAGCTAAACTTTCCCATGTCAAAACTGACAGCGTTTATTTTGGGTACAGTTCAGTAAGAGGTAAGTGCATAGAAAATCAAACATCATTCTAAGGAATACAACCCCAAAGACAGCCAACAGGCCACAGGATACCAACTGGAACCTCTGACTTCTTAACCTGGGGATTAGAAGGGGATCTTCAGAAGTTAGAAAGGAATTCAGAATGTTTGGAGCACAGTGGAAATTTTTATTAATGACTATCAAGAACCAGGGCCTCCATGGCTCAGAGGTCAGTTATAAAAAGCAGATTTTGATTACAATGGGTGGTAGATAACGAATATTCACAGCGGGCAGCTCTTCATCTGCTCTGAGTCTCTGGGAGTAGCCCCACACAAGAAAGTAAGAAAAGAAATGGACTATCTTCTGCAGGCCTTGGGACAAAGGCTCATGGGACTAATTAAGACATAGATGATGCTGGCATCTAAGCCAACAAGAAATCCTAGTCTTTGCTCAGGCCAACACTGCCGCCTGCCCACAGAAGCACAGGTTTCCTGCTCTAAATCTGGAAACAGACTGAAGATTCTCAGGACAAAGACAGTGAAAAGGGAGCTCTGGACCTTCAGGAGTCGATGACTCCACACACAAAAAAAGATGCAGATTTAAACCAATGGACCCAATATAAGAAAGCCTGACACCCCCCAACACTGCTTCTACAGTAAATCCCTGACAGGAGTTATTTATCGCTACCTCCCAAGGGCTGACTTGAAGGATATCTTGGTTTTTATAAAGTGCAGAAAGTTTTATTTCACTCTAAAAGACTATCTCCATCTCTCTCTCTTTTTTTTAATTATGACACTTAAAAAGGCACACATTTACTTCTTGGGCAATCACACCTTTCCCCTCAGCTCATACATTAGTGTCAAAATTCAGGGCAGGTGAGAGAGAAGCCAGGCGACTCAGAAATAATACATTCAGAAAGGGGAGCCAGGAGATGTGACTTCAAATCCTAATTCTGTAAGGCAGTCTCTGGGGCTCAATTTTGCTTCCTGAAAATCGTGAACGACGATTGCTACCCTAGTCCCTGAGTGGTAGAAACGTGTCATTCAAATCAGAAATAGGCCTGGCCCTCAACCACATTCTCATTATCAAGCTTAAGAAGCCTGTTCAGTCTAGTAACTGAGACTAGCAGGTTCTACACCATTATTTTTTTCAACAAGACTTCTCAGAGGCTTTAATGTGCTCTTACTCATTTTGATTCTCCAAGAAGGTGGGTGGTGAATAGCATCAGAAGCCATGAATAATAATGTGTTCATTATGCAGCTCCAGAGATAACACACATCTTGTGTAACACTACAGTAAATGGGGGCTCTCAGCATCTCCATTTAATTGGGTAACACTACAGGAAATGGGAGCTCTCAGCACTTCATTTTATAGAAAAAAGAAACTGAAATTTAGAGCAGTTAACTTGCCACAGTCACATGACCAATAAATAATAAGGTGGGGATCTAAAGCCATGTCTTTCCTATCACAGATTCTAGCTTTTATATACCATGCTGCTTGTCATAAACTGAATTCACCAGAACTCACTGCATCTGTGTTCCAGGAACTGATTAGAAAGTGGATCTCTTTAAATGGATGGCAATAACTACATCACCTAGATAATTTTATATCTAATTCTATGATATATCGCATCCCATATACAATGTATTCTTCCTTGCATTCCTTCGCTCATGGCCCCTTTCTCCATCTCCAAAGCCAGCAGTATATTACCCTCCAATCT